CCTAGCAGTCCTGCCGAGGGGAGGAGACAGAGCCTGAAGTTCAGGGAGGACAAGACAGCTAGAATTTGCTGGGGAGAGTGCCCAAGATGAGGGGGCTGCACAAAGAAGGCACTCCAGAGAACTTCATCAGGGTTCCCTTAAGTCTTTGTCTAAAATAAAATCTGTGCAGACATAAAGTGAAACCCCACAAGGCTGGACTGTACCCAGAGCAATTCCCAGAGCTGACACCAGGCTGGAAATCATTTGCACACCCACTAGCCAGAGTCAAAAGACCTTACTGCACACATGGGGTTTTTAGCACAGAACCCAGAGGGTCTGCACCTTAGTAGTGGTGGTTTTTCTAGATCTTTCCCAAAAGAAAACTTCAAAGCATCAATATGATCCCTAAGCAACTACCTGCCAGAAAAAGCTCAAAGTTCTTTAAAGGAATACAACAAAATTCAGCACTCAGAAACTTAAATTCACAGTGTCCAGCATCCAATAAAAAATGACTGTGCATATGAAGAAGCAGAAAATGTGATCCATGATCAAGATTATAAATAGATCTAGAAATACGAGAGACATGATGGCATTAGCAGTTACAGACATTAAAACACCGATTATAACTATGTACCACTTTCTCTAGAATGTAAAGGAAACTATGAACATGATAAGGAAAAAAGTAAAAGATATTCTCAAATGGAATCTCTAGAATTGAAAAATATAATATCTAAAATGAAATATCCTCTGGATGAGACTAACAGCAGATGAGACTGTGGGATAAAGCCCACTGTTTTCCTTAACCCTTATCACACCCTGGCTCAAAGAAGGCAAGAAGCTTGCCTAAGATCACAAGGCTAACCAAGTTAATTTAACGCAACATCTTTCTCAAATGCAAGCATGTGTTCTAAAAAGACATTCACTACCAACAACATTATGATTTCCCTAATACTTTAAAATGTATATATATATATATATATATATATATATATAAGATATATATATATATATCTTTGGATATCATTTTTTCCACATAGACCCAGTCCCTCTGACAACCCTCTTTATTAATGTATAATAAACAGAGTGCAGTACATTCTATCAGGAGTAAAATTTAACTGACTTTTCTGAGCCTTCATTTTTTTCATCTATAACAATGATTAAGTGATAACGTATATGTGAAAATGCTTGTGTACGCTAAAGTGTGATGGGGAGTGATGTAGAGGTAAGTGTTATAAGTCTTCACAGCCAGAGGGAGACAGACGGTAGCACTTAGTCTGCCTTTTTGCCCAACAGCCAGTCCGTAGCCTGTAAAGCCCGCATCCCTTTGGAGCTGATTTCAGGCAGAAACAATCAGAATACCCAGAGGCTGTTGTTATGTAGGGGTGAATCTGGATCTGTCTACCTCTGACTCAGCCAGCCCACGAGGGCCCTGAGCCGTGCCAGGGAAAGGACGGGGACTAGATGCCAAGGACCTTGCTGAGTCATGCTGTGCAACCTTAAGGAGTTCACTCAATCTAAGCATCAGTTTCTTCATCAGTAAAATGGAGATAAAACTACCTGCCCTATAATAGCGTTGTTTGGAGGATTAGATGAGATACTAGAAATCCAAAAGGCTAAGCACAGTGCTAGCAAGTTCTCAGTAAACATTAGCTTTGATTATTATAATGAATGATAAAACAATCCATGTGCTTAAACATCTTATAAATGTGAGAATATATAACTGAATCACTTTGCTGTACCCCTGAAATGAACACAACACGGTAAGTCAACTACACTTAGATAAAATAATAATAATAATTACAAACATGAGGGAATTGACCGTCACAGTCTGGAAGCTTTCCTGATCCAGCCCGAGGCCAAAAAGAATGCATTTGAACTTGTGTGCTGATGGCAACTTCCTTAGCCGACTCCGCTGGCCCCACCCTCACCCCTCCCAGCCAGCCTAAAAAGCTCACCTGTCACTCCAGTCTCCTTTCCATTCCACCTTCCCCCAGGGGTTCCGCAGCTTGACCAGATACTCAGGTCCATGTTTGGAGGTCACCTGCATAAAATGAGAACCAGTTCAGGTGGCTGGGCTGAGTGCCAACTGCAAATGTTGCAGATACCAGGGTGAGATTCCTGCCTGCAGATGAAACCTTGAAATGAAAGACCAAAGGCCCTGGGAGTTGGTAGAGGAGAAAATGGCTCTGCTACTTCCTAGCTGTGAGACCTAAGGCAAGTTACTTAAGCTCTCTGTATCTGCTTCCTGATCTGCACAAGGAAGCTAATAATCACATCTACTGCAGTGAGTTGAATGGGAGCCTCCTCCAAAGATCAGTCTACCTAGGTCAATGTCAATGTGATCCTATCTGTAAAAAGGGTCTTCCTTCGCGGATGTAATCATGTTAAGGGTCTTGAGATGGAATCAACCTGGATCAGGGCAGGTCCTAAAGCCAATGACAAATGTCTTTACAAAAGAAAAGAAGAGGCCAGACACAGAGGAGACGGACATGTGAAAATGGAAGCAAAGACTGGAGCTGTGCATCCCAAGCTCAGGAATGCTGGGAGCCACTATGAGCCAGAAGAAGCTCAGAAGAATTCTCTCCTAGAGCTGTCGGAGGGAGAACGGCATTAATGATGCCTTGACTTCAGACTTCGGGCCTTAAAAATGAACTGAAAGAATAAATTTCTGTAGCTTTAAGCCTCCCAATTTGTGGCAATTTGTTACAGCAGCCCTCCTCAAAGGACCATTGTGAGGCTTAAGAAAGATAACGCTGGTAAAGCAGGTAAAGATAGTACTTAGCACACAGTGAGGGCTAAATCTTGTTAAATAATTTTGTTAAATAAATGTGTACATAGAAATATTAACAAAATAAAATTTTGTTAAATAAATATGAAAATAAATTAAAAGTTCTTGGCACACACACAAACATGACTGATGGAAAGAAATGTGGGAAGATGAAGTCAGGTGTGAATGGAGTTGAAAAATGTGAAACAGAGTTAAAGGGAACTGGAGGACTTTGGGGAAGCCATGCGCACTAGAGACCAGCAGAGACTCTTTCAGGTTCAACCTACTGATTCCTTATTTCCATGCTTTGTTCCTGCGGCTCCCTCCATCAGGAATGGCCCTTCCCCCCTCACACAAATCTACCCATCTTTCAGGGGCCAGCTCAATGGCACCTCCTCTATAAAGCTGTTTCTGATTTCCCCCCAAACCAACCAGGTGAATGTCTTCTCTCCTCCCTCTGAACTCCCAAAGCCTTTCATCATTGCTCCCTTCTTTCAGTTTCTACTTTGCGTCCCCAACAATTTCAAATATGGTTTGCCTCCGTACTTGTGATTTGTAAGCTCTTTGTAGGCAAGGTCTCTGTCTGCTTCAACTTTCTCTCAATGTTTAGTAGAGCTCAAAAGGTGGACAGCAACGGAAGGAAACTAGGAGAGGGTTGAAAAGGAGCATGTGAGAAATAAGCAGGAATTTGGAGGGAAAACCCAGATAGAAAAGCTATCATTGGCAGCCCAGGGTGAAGTGAAGGTCAAAGCAGGGTTGTGAGGTACAGCAGGCTGATTGGATGGGGTGGGGGAGGTGGCGGAGGCAGGATCCACCCTTCACCCCAGAGAAGAGGCACAGAGGTAAGGGAGCCCACCACCTGCTTTGGCAGGTCCAGCAGAGAATTCATCCCCTAGACTGGGCAGAGATGATAGCATCCACCGAGATGAGACAAAGCCTTGGCAAGAAGTCCCTGGAGAGAAGGGAGAGGCTGCAGCGAGACAAAGGGGCCTGGTTCCACCCACCTTCCTGATCCCCGTGAGAGTGTAGGCATGGCCATCCACCAGACCGTTCTCCAGCACCCTCTCCTTCTGTAGAGACCAGAGAGCTCTCCTCAGTCCTCTGCTGCGGTCAGCTTATGTGGGGGTTGGGGGACCTGTTCGACTGGAGTGAGGGCTTATGGGGAGGGGGTGGGAGAGACCCACGCTGTGTTTTCCTCACAATTTTCAAAGCTCTTCAGCACCCACTCTCATCTGAGCCTTTCAAGAAGTCAGGGTGCCATTCTGCACTGATTATCACCCCAGTTTACAGAGGGCAACTCAGATTCAGAGCTGCTAAGTCATGTGTGAGGTTGTCAGGGGAGGCAGGGTTCTTGTCTGTTATTAAATTAGACAGCCAAGGCTAGCAGTGCTGGTAAATTGCCCTGCATGCGGTTGACACTTAAGAATTGTTAGCTTTCCTTTCTGTACGCCATCTGTATTCTACTGTGGTCTCGCCTACGCAGAGGGCTCAGCTCTGCTGTTCTAGTTTGAACATCCGGACTCTGGGTGTGGGAGCTGGTGGAGTCTGGGGGCCCACAGTGAGGAGAGGAGCAGCTGGTGGATGAGGGGGAAGGGGACCAGCAGGGGAGGAGGACATCCTGCCAGTGCCCAGCCCAGTCTCACCCCTGAGTGGGTCTGGCAGCCAATGAGGGTTCTGCTGTAGGTCGCTTGGGTTAGGATGTCCCAGAGGTTATCAGGGGCTTCTGCCAGTTTGATGGTCACTGTCACCCCTCCAGTGAAGTCCACCAGGGCTTCAGACACCTGCCCACGCTGCAAGTCTTCATAGGAGCCAGAGAGCCTGCCCAGGGAAGGAATAAACATGGGATAAGGGAAGGGTGATTACACTGTGACCAGGGATGGGCCACACAAGTCCAGTGAATCCCCTGCCTGGTTATCCCCACGTCACATGTCTGCTATTCCTTCCTTCTATCCCAGGGGCAAAAAAGAAAATACACATTTAGAGTTTCCATCTCTATTAAACAACTCCATCCATTAGGGACAGGCAAGATTCCTGAAAGCTTGCTCCCATGGGGCGACCCTTACATGTGTCACTTCTATATTTGCTGAGATGGGCCTCAATATCTCACTTGATGAACTCTGCCTGCCTCCTCTTGCCCTCCCTCAACATTGACGAGAGGGAGACAGAGACAGAGAGGAGGGAAGGGCCGGGAAGGAAAGGGGGAAGGTTTCTGGTGGTTGCCTTACTTAGCATAGGCCTTTTCCAGAAGAGCTCCCCAGAACAAGTTCTTGTAGGTGGAAGACACAAAGACCAGCTGGCCGGCCTCATTCACGGGCAGTCGGTCATCAACCACCACTGGAACCCACTTCCCGAAGTGCCAGAACTGGAAGGAGAGAGCGCCCTCTGGTGAGCAAGGACTCCCGTGGAGGGTGGTCAGCCCAGAAAGCAAGGATGTGACTCTTCCAGGAACCCTCTTTCCTAAGGCCTCCTGCAGGCTAGGGCACCAGAAGGACACTCACCCAGAACTGGAAGATGCCAGCATACTTCTCAGTAAAACTCTGATTCAAAGGAACGACGCGACTCAGGATGTCCTGGTGCAAAGTCAGAGCTTCCAAAGCCGCCAAGAACCAGCAGTCGCCTAAGCCAGACAGCACACAGTATGCACATGAATCCGCTGTACAGGCATGTCCAGGACTCAAGTGTCTGCATGGACGTACGGGACAGGTGTGCATGTGCTACAAGTGGCTGCGTGAATCTTCTGAGGACTTACTGCATACAGGAAATGCCTGGTCTCAAGTGCTATCCTCCCTGGGCTTGTAACCCAGTTTAGGAGAAGAGGATTATATCCCAGGGAGAAAGATGGTAAGTGAGCAGAGTAGGGGGTGGGCAACATTGTCTGGAACCCAGACTTGACACCAAGAACCGAACCATATTTCTGGACCAGCTTTTAGCTTCCAGAATGCCCCAACATCAGGAACTTGGACCCAAACACAACCAAACTTTTCTAAGTCCTGCTTCTGTAACTGATTTATGGTCTTCTGAGAAAGCCTCAACCCTCTGGACTCCTTTCTGTGTCTGTGAAATGGGTATCACTACACAAGTGCCTTCCCTTACGGCCAAGAGTTTTTTCTATTCCTCTAAAAAGAAAGTTATGCTGAAGGCAGGTCTGCTTGGATTCTGGGGCATCTGGTGTTGGGTGTGCCAAGGACTCGTTATAGAGACTAATGCAGAGTGAGCATATTTCCCCAAGGAGAAACTTAGACCTGTAAACTGGTAATGGGGATGATCGTTAGGTAAGGTTGGGCATTCCCATACATCCTCAGAGGACTAGTTGTTATCGTTGAGCCGGCAAAGGGCAGCATGTCAGGTGGAGTTCAGGGTGGCCATTTCCCCCTTGGGGATCTCTCGATGCCCCTCCTCCCACCCCCTCTGCCTTGGCTGGGCCAGGCTTGCAGGTGTCAGGTGTGTGTCTCAGGGACTGGGCAGACTTACCTACCAATCCCTGGCACAGATCCAGCCTTCTGGCCTTGGCAGAATAGAACTGAGGATTGCTGTGCAGCTCCTGCGGGAACAGATGACACTGTCCTGATTAAGAACAAGGAAGCTCCTGGGGCTACAGTGGACTGTAGTTTCCCACATCCCAACACTGGCCTTATGGGGACACAGATGTATGTGTGAAGTCAGGGATGTCCCAGAAAATTTGGCATACAGATCCAGCCCACTGTATTTCTCATTCCTTCTTGCAGCTCATGTTAAGTCAGAAACCCAGAGAACTCTGTATGGATATTGAGAAATAGCTT